AAAAAAAAAAGAAAGAAAGAAAGAAAGAAAAGGGGGATTACTCCTTGATAGGATAAAACTATTGGTAAATCAAAGATCAACGCATGCTTTAAATATCCTTAATGTTGATCACTTTAAGGGTGTCAGATGATCAGCTATGGAGGTACTCTTTTCTGATAATATTCCTTTCTCTTAATAAAAAAAAAAAAGTGTTTTATTGAGATAAGAACACCACAAACTAAACAAGTGTGAGAACCAAGTGATTCAATGTTCACAGAATACCTAGATGACTCTTGGTACTTTGTATACAAATAAAATTTTACCTCTTATTCCCAATCAGCATGATAACCATGTTGGAGCTAGAGTGCTGGCGGGCATCCTCTAACCATGAGGTCAGGTGGTTGAAGGTTTCACGCCTATAACAGAAAAGTTTAGAAAGTGAGTCAGAGGCTCATTTTCAAATATACAGATAAAGGAGTAAAGCTACATGTGCAAAGAAGTATTGAGGCCATTCCTCTTCAGTATTCTTACCACAATCAGCAGATAGAAAGAAAAAGATTTCAAGGACGTAGTGAAATCTCCCTCCCAGCCACCAGCTCTGACTCACCTTGTGATGTCATACACCAGTAGTGCTCCAGCTGCTCCCCTGTAGTAGGAACGGGTGATAGAACGGAAGGATTCTTGCCCAGCCTTTCCCACCAACATGGCAACAAAAAATTTACAACAAAACCAGGTTACTTCCAAAGAAATTACTTGATCACATGCCAGTCTAACACAAAGGACTTTATTGTAAAAAAAAGAACTTCTATTAGGAGAATAGAATTAGGGAAAGGAAACTTGACTGCCCAGGGAGAAGTTCAGGTGGGAAATTAACCCTTTTCAGTGGGACTGCAAGTGCTGTTTTGGGTGGGTCAGCTCTTCCTGTGAGACTATCCATCAAATTGCTGAAGGGTTAGCATCCCTGGCTCCCAGTCACTAAATGCCAGTAGTATCTCCCAGTCAGTGTGACAGTCAAAGACATGCCCATAAATTTCCCAGTATCCCCTAGGAGATAACTAGAAATAGGACTAGAAACTCAAGAGTATTTTCAATCCTAACATTAACTGTTCTGTTTCTACTCCTTTAATTGTAAAAAGAAAAATTATCTTTTTATAGATAAAGGAATGCCAGTATGCTATCTAATGGAAGTTTTATCCCAATGGAGCAATATGGAAAATTAGATAAAAAGCACTTAAATTGGGCATATGCTAACTGACCTTTAGTGTTCCACTAATAAAGGCAGGACTACCAAGATATCCCTTGCTGGGACCTTGTCAGGGAATATGGAAAGAGGACAAAAACAGTTTCACTAAAAAATATCCAACTGTTCACACTATAATCTCATTTCCAACTGGGACCAAGGTATTAACTTTTATTTATTACTTAACAGTTTATTAATGGCCCCACATACTGGGTACTTTTAGTTTCTTGATGGAACAGATTTTTTTGTGTTTTTTGTTTTTCTTTGTTTTTTCCTTAGAAGAAAAGCATATTTTAATGAATGCCCTGGGCAGTGAGTCTATCCTATTACGAAAGCTTGCACATTCTTGAAATTGTTTATGTTCATATCCCTACAGAAATTTTAAGATGGCGGCGTGAGTAGGGTGGCGGAAATCTCCTCCCAAACACATATATATTTTGAAAATACAGCAAATGCAACTATTCCTAAAAGAGTGACCAAAAGATACAGTACACGAGCCAGGCTAAATCTGCGAGAACCCAACATCTCATTGAAAAGGGTAAGATACAAAGCTGTGACCCGGTGGGACCCAAGCCCTCTCCCCACCCCAGATCACCAGTGGGAGGAAAAGAATCAGAGTGGAGACGGAGTGGAAGTAACAGGACTCCTAAATAACTAGCCCTAGTAATCTGCCCTGAGATCACAGACACACATTACATGGTGCACTGGATATTAGAGGAGCGGAAAGTAAAATCTGAGATTAGGACTGCGAACAGGTTCCCAAAGCCAGCTGCCCTGGTACAAAAGAAAAGCAGCTGCTTTAAAAGTCTTAAAGGGACAAGGGTTTAAATCAGCCTGGCACACTCAGCCCAGCAGGCTGGGAACTTTAAGGAACTTCAGGCACCCTAACCCCCTGGGTGGCAGCACAGCTCCAAACCTCCTCACAACAATAAGCAGCCTGCCATTCGTTCCCCCCAGGCCGGCACTGCAAGCAACCAGCTGACCCACCATTGCTGCAGAATAGCAAGGGAGCAGCCCTGCCTACAGCAACCACACTGCTTAACACAGAGGATTCTCCCTGCATGCGGTTAACCGGTTCAGACCCAGAGGCTGGTCCCTGCGGACAGTTGACTGGCAACAACAGCAGACACTGACGCAGAGTAAGGAAGGCACAAAGAGGCTTTGTTCTCACAGCAGAACACATGCTGCTCACCTGCGAGCCCAGCCAGTGACCCAGGTCATCCCCAGGGTTGCCCCACCCAAGGCAGATGAGTGGATTAATGCAGAGGCTACTCCCTGAGCACAGTTGACCAGCACAGACAGAGGAGATGGGCGCATTCCAGGAAGCACAAAGAGGCTTTGTTCTCACAGCAGAACACACGCCACTCGTGTAGGACCCTGCTAGTGCCCTAGGCAATCCCGAGGACCACCCCATGCACGGGAGCTCAGGAGATTAAACCAGAGGCTGCTCCCTGTGTGCAGCTGACCAGCAAAACAGCAGAGATGGCCAAGTCAACCAGCAAGGAGGAAGGGATTTTCTCCTCTAAATTGACACATGTGCCACTCGCCAACAATCAGTTCCAAAGCCATGAAAAGGCAGAAAAACCTTGTTGAGTCCAAAATGCCTCAAACACCAGAGAGAGGGCCTGGTGAGACTGAATTCACCAATATTCCTAAAAAATAATGCAAAATAAAAGTCACAACCCAGGGCTGGACGGATTTACGTCAGAATTTTATCACACACACAGAGAAGACATAATACCCATTCTCCTTAAAGTGTTCCAAAAAATAGAAGAAGAGGGAATACTCCCAAACTCATTCTATGAAGCCAACATCACCCTAATACCAAAACCAGGCAAAGACCCCACCAAAAAAGAAAATTACAGACCAATATCCCTGATGAATGTAGATGCAAAAATACTCAATAAAATATTAGCAAACAGAATTCAACAGTATATCAAAAGGATCATACACCATGACCAAGTGGGGTTCATCCCAGGGATGCAAGGATGGTACAACATTCGAAAATCCATCAACATCATCCACCACATCAACAAAAAGAAAGACAAAAACCACATGATCATCTCCATAGATGCTGAAAAAGCATTTGACAAAATTCAACATCCATTCATGATAAAAACTCTCAGCAAAATGGGAATAGAGGGCAAGTACCTCAACATAATAAAGGCCATATATGATAAACCCACAGCCAGCATTATACTGAACAGCGAGAAGCTGAAAGCATTTCCACTGAGATCGGGAACCAGACAGGGATGCCCACTCTCCCCACTGTTATTTAACATAGTACTGGAGGTCCTAGCCACGGCAATCAGACAAAACAAAGAAATACAAGGAATCCAGATTGGTAAAGAAGAAGTTAAACTGTCACTATTTGCAGATGATATGATACTGTACATAAAAAACCCTAAAGACTCCACTCCAAAACTACTAGAACTGATATCGGAATACAGCAAAGTTGCAGGATACAAAATCAACACACAGAAATCTGTAGCTTTCCTATACACTAACAACGAATCAATAGAAAGAGAAATCAGGAAAACAATTCCATTCACCATTGCATCAAAAAGAATAAAATACCTAGGAATAAACCTAACCAAGGAAGTGAAAGACTTATACTCTGAAAACTACAAGTCACTCTTAAGAGAAATTAAAGGGGACACTAATAAATGGAAACTCATCCCATGCTCATGGCTAGGAAGAATTAATATCGTCAAAATGGCCATCCTGCCCAAAGCAATATACAGATTTGATGCAATCCCTCTCAAATTACCAGCAACATTCTTCAATGAATTGGAACAAATAATTCAAAAATTCATATGGAAACACCAAAGACCCCGAATAGCCAAAGCAATCCTGAAAAAGAAGAATAAAGTAGGGGGGATCTCACTCCCCAACTTCAAGCTCTACTACAAAGCCATAGTAATCAAGACAATTTGGTACTGGCACAAGAACAGAGCCACAGACCAGTGGAACAGATTAGAGACCCCAGAAATTAACCCAAACATATATGGTCAATTAATATTTGATAAAGGAGCCATGGACATACAATGGCAAAATGACAGTCTCTTCAACAGATGGTGCTGGCAAAACTGGACAGCTACATGTAGGAGAATGAAACTGGACCATTGTCTAACCCCATATACAAAGGTAAACTCAAAATGGATCAAAGACCTGAATGTAAGTCATGAAACCATTAAACTCTTGGAAAAAAACATAGGCAAAAACCTCTTAGACATAAACATGAGTGATCTCTTCTTGAACATATCTCCCCGGGCAAGGAAAACAACAGCAAAAATGAGCAAGTGGGACTACATTAAGCTGAAAAGCTTCTGTACAGCGAAAGACACCATCAATAGAACAAAAAGGAACCCTACAGTATGGGAGAATATATTTGAAAATGACAGATCCGATAAAGGCTTGACGTCCAGAATATATAAAGAGCTCACACGCCTCAACAAACAAAAAACAAATAACCCAATTAAAAAATGGGCAGAGGAACTGAACAGACAGTTCTCCAAAAAAGAAATACAGATGGCCAAGAGACACATGAAAAGATGCTCCACATCGCTAATTATCAGAGAAATGCAAATTAAAACTACAATGAGGTATCACCTCACACCAGTAAGGATAGCTGCCATCCAAAAGACAAACAACAACAAATGTTGGCGAGGCTGTGGAGAAAGGGGAACCCTCCTACACTGCTGGTGGGAATGTAAATTAGTTCAACCATTGTGGAAAGCAGTATGGAGGTGCATCAAAATGCTCAAAACAGACCTACCATTTGACCCAGGAATTCCACTCCTAGGAATTTACCCTAAGAACGCAGCAATCAAGTTTGAGAAAGACAGATGCACCCCTATGTTTATCGCAGCACTATTTACAATAGCCAAGAATTGGAAGCAACCTAAATGTCCATCGGTAGATGAATGGATAAAGAAGATGTGGTACATATACACAATGGAATACTACTCAGCCATAAGAAGTGGAAAAATCCAACCATTTGCAGCAACATGGATGGAGCTGGAGAGTATTATGCTCAGTGAAATAAGCCAAGCGGAGAAAGAGAAATACCAAATGATTTCACTCATCTGAGGAGTATAGGAACAAAGGAAAAACTGAAGGAACAAAACAGCAGCAGAATTACAGAACCCAAAAATGGACTAACAGGTACCAAAGGGAAAGGAACTGGGGAGGATGGGTGGGCAGGGAGGGATAAGGGGGGGGAAGAAGAAGGGGGGTATTAAGATTAGCATGCATGGGGGGGAGGGAGAAAGGGGAGGGTGGGCTGCACAACACAGAGAGGACAAGTAGTGACTCTACCACATTTTGCTAAGCTGATGGACAGTAACCGTAATGTGGTTGTTAGGGGGGACCTGATATAGGGGAGAGCATAGTAAACATAGTATTCTTCAGGTAAGTGTAGATTAAAAATTTAAAAAAAAAAAAGAAA